TCCTGGGTCTCCTATTATAGCGTCCCTTTTCATTCAGATGGTGACGTATAGTGTGAGCTGACACAGCTGTACCCTGTGCCTGAAGGTCAGCTTGAATTTGTCTGGAAGTTCTTAAACTCCGGAGTTAAAAACCAGAGTTGAAAACAGGAGATTATAACCAGAGCAGGGGCGGACTGACCATTTGGAAACTCGGCACTGCCCGAGGTCAGTAGGGGGCCCCATGAGATACCCCTGGTACCTTTATCATAGGCTTTTTTGAGTTTGGGCAAGGACACAGGGGCCACATGATCCCCTATTGCCCGGGGGCCCCATGAGTTGTCAGTCCACCTCTGAACAGGAGTCTACTAACCTGTAAGTGACAACTGATGTTTCCTATTAGTAATATCAATATTGTAACTGGGATAATGAGTGCTATCAGGGCTGAAGGTTTTGTGCAGTGCACAGTGTGCCGCATGTATGCAACAATGGAGCAACAGCTCCAGGATGGATATCGCTGGAGGATATCTGGAGGAGCAAGTTGCAACACTGGGCAGAACCGACAACCTTGAATGGGGTCTTCTGCTCTCTGAGTAGGTAGCTGATGGGATTGATGTGGAGGGTGGAGGGGATAGTCAGGATTATCAGGTAGGAAAATGGGTTACTGTAGTGAGAGGGAGTGGTAGAGGCTCACAGAAAAAGAAGGCCGGCCCCGGGTTTGAGCACCCAGATTTGCCAAGTTGGGTGAAGATGTGTGGGTGGCAAGCTCAGGGGTGGCAGCCCTAGATGTCACTGCTATCCCTAACAGCCAGGAGAGCAGACCATTTGGGAGGGGTGGTGAGGGTAGTGCAGGAAGTCTAGACAGTTGGTGGCAATAGGAGATTCTAAAATCAGAAGGACTCATAGAATAATTTGTCGCTAGGATCGCAAATGGTTTAAGGTCTCCCTGGTACCAGGGTTTGGCATGTGGCAGACTGGGTTGATAAATTACTGGAAGGGGTTGGGCATGACCCAGCTGTCTTGGTCTTTGTTGGAACTAATGACAGAATACATGGAAGGTGAAGGCTCCTTAAGAATAATTTTAAAGAACTGGGCTGCAAGTTGAAGGGAAGGACCTCAAAAGGTGATATTTTCTGAAATATTATCTGTGCCATGCGCAAGTCAGGAAAGATGAGAAAATTACAGAACTCAATGCATGGCTAAAGACCTAATGTAAGAAGGAAGAATTTGGGTTTCTAGAGCACTGGGATGACTTTTCATTGGGGTGCAACCTATATGCTAGAAATGGTTTGCACCTAAATGGAAGGGGGTCTGCTGCTGTGCTGGGGAAGAAGTTTATGGGATTGGGTCAGTCTTTACTGGTGGGTGGAAAGGGGAAAGATGGGGGAGGGCTACGGCAAGTGATTTTGGTTCCTTAGTTAAAATTCGAACAATCCTTCATTACAATCTTTGATCAATTTTTCTCTTGCATCCACGTCCAGGGAGACTAGCTACAGTGCCATGGGCTGTAAACTACTTGACAAAGTTGCACACAGTGGGCACAGGAATATTCAAATCTCTAGAGATGGACTTGTAACTTTGAGATTGTCCATGCTCTCCACAATTTTTGTTCTCAAATCATCAGACAATTCTTTGCTGCTCTTTCTCTTCTCCTTTCCATGTGGCACACAGAGTCACACAACATAAAGGTTGAGTCAATTTTTCAAACTGGTTGCAGAAGTGATTTCTATATTGTAGGCACCTGTTCATGGATATAGGTGAGTTTAATTATAAATTACAGGAGCATCACAAACATGGAATGCAATTATTTCTTACAATTTTGAGAAGGTGCCAATAATTTTGTCGAGTCCGTTTTTGGGGTTTTGCGTGGAATGAGTCAGATTTGGTTTTTTGTTTCTCCACTTTTTTGTGTCATACCAAAACAAACAAAAGAAAAACATGAGAATGTCTAAACATTTGTAATTGCAACAACTTTTTGGGCTAAATCGAACATTATCTGACAGAAATGCAGGGGTGCCAACATTTTTGGCTATGACTGTATGTGCCTGCTGTACCATGTACTGTTACGACAGTGTATCCTGTTCTCTTTGCATTTCGTCCTTTATGTGAACTCCCTGATGCTCCTGGCAGTTCTGCTTTCCTAATAAAAACTGACCACACTAGCTAGGAGAGCACAATGTCAACTTTCTGGCTGTACTGGGAATGCAGCCTGTTCTCCTCCAATGATCAGACCTGTACTGACATGCCCCCTCTGCACTGCCAGTCACTGGGGAGACCACTGTGCTCCTGTTTTTCCTCCCTGAGCTCATTATGCAGCTAAGAACAGAGGGTAGGCGATCACTTATAAAAAGGGGAAAAAAGGTATTTATAATGTCTTTTATATGTATACATCAATGCTTTGCCTTTCATTTCTCTTTTAAAGTGAATGGGTTGATTTACAAAATTAAGGTTTACGTATACTTTCACTTTTCTCCTTTACTTTCTATTACTTTTTATGTCTATTAATTTTCCAGTGAAAATTTTTGTGCACCCTGCCCGCCCACTCCCAAAGCATTCTGTGACCAGTCACACGTCCCAGGAGGCTGCAGGTTCATACACAGAGTATCACACAAGATCACAAATGTGCAGTGGGAATAGGCCATGGATCCCATATCCAGGTTGATGTGTTGGGGACCCACAGTCTGCAGCTACAGTATTTATAGCTCCTGAAAAAAAAATTAGTTCTCTCTGTAAACTACAGGACACCTTCCCCACAAATTATTATTATAATACAGGATTTATATAGCACCAACAGTTTATGCAGCACTTTACAACATGAGGGCAGACAGTACAGTTACAATACAATTCAATACAGGAGGAATCAGAGGTCCCTGCCCATTAGAGCATACAATCTAAGAGGGAGGGCCAAAAAATACAAAAGGTAAAAAACTGTGGGGGATAAGCTGGTGGAGAAAATTAAAGTACAGTTGTTAGTTGGGGGTTGGATAAGCCTCTCTGAAGAGAAGAGTTTTCAGGGATTGTCTGAAAATGGACAGAGTAGGAAATAGTTGGACAGATTAGGGTAGGGAGTTCCATAGGATGGGAGAGGCTAAGGAGAACTCCTGAAGGCTAGCATGGGAGAAGGTGACAAGGATGTTAGAGAGCAGGAGTTCTTGGGAGGAATGAAGAGAACGATTTGGTTGTTATTTTTAGACTAGATTAGTGATGTAGCTGGGGACCAGTTTGTTGATGGCTTTGTAAGTTGTTAGTATTTTGAATTTAATTTGTTGGGCAAGCAGAAACCAGTGGAGGGATTGGTAGAGAGAAGTAGCAGGTACTGAACAATTGGTAAGGTGGATGAGTCTGGCAGCAGCATTCATGATGGACTAATGAGGGGATAGCCTATGTACAAGTAGGCCAATGACAAGGGAGATGCAGCAGCCAAGGCGAGAGATGACCAGAGAGTGAATTAGAAGTTTTGTGGTGTCATGGGATAGGAAGAGGCGTATTTTGGAGATGTTGCGTAGGTTGAGGCGGCAAGCTTTGTACAGGGACTGGATGTGCGTCAGAGTCCAGGATTACACCTAGCACCTTAGCATGTGTGGAAGGGTTGTGCCATTAATTTTGACAGAGAAATCAGGGTAAAAGGGGAGGGGGAGGAGGAAAATATTATGAGCTTAGTTTTGGATAGACTTTGAGGAAGTGGTATGGCATTCAGACTGATATGTCTGTTAGTAAATTAGTGATGCGTGTGGAGATTGATGGAGTGAGCTCAGGAGTAGAGAGATAGATTTGGGTGTCATTAGCGTAAAGGTGGTATCGGAAGCCATGAGAGACTTACAACTTACCCAGGGAGGAGGGGTAGATTGAGAGGTCCAAGAACAGAACCTTGGAGGACCCCAAGGGAGAAAGGAAGAGGAGAGGAGGAAGAAAAATTGTAAGAGACACTGAAGGTGCAGTGGGATAGCTAGGATGAGCACCAGCGAATAGTACAGTCACAGAGACTAAAGGACTGGAGTTGTTTTAGAAGGAAGGGGTGGACCACAGTGTCAAAGGCAGCAGAGAGGTCCAGGAGTAGGAGTGTCCATTGGGTTTAGCCATTAGTAGATAGTTTGTGAGTTTTAGAGCATTTTCTGTTGAGTGTTGAGGACGATATCCAGACTGAAGAGGATCAAGAAGGTTATTCTCAATGGGATGGTCACTCAGTCGGTTGTAGACCAGACAATCAAGGAGTTTGGAGGAAAAGGGGAGAAAGGAGATGGGACATAGGTTGCTAGGATTGATGGGGTCCAATGATGGCTTTTTAAGTATGGGAGTAACCAGTGTATGTTTTAGAGAGTTGGGGAAGATGCTAGAAGAGAGGAAGAGATTGAAGCTGCGAGTTAGAGATTGTAGGATAAAGCTAGAGCGTGACCGTAGTATTTGCGAGGGAACAGGGTCCAGGGCCAGGTGGTTAAGTGGGCATTAGAAAAAAGTTTAGCAACCTTGTCCCTGTTAGTAGCAGGGTTGATTGAGAGAAGTAATGATTGTACCTGTGCGCATGGAGTGTTACGTGGGGGAGGTATCTCTGCAGATGAGATATTGTCGCAAATTGTATCAACCTTACTTTTGAAGTTATAGAGATGCAGGACTACCTGCATGGGGATGCACGGAACCCCTTGTGCATCTCTATGTGGGAAAACAGGGCGCTCACATGAGTGTATGCTCCTGTGAATGAGGTCCTATTGTTTTTTGCGTTCCCTTTACTGTCCACACAAAAAACGCTGTGCATAGCATGTACTGTATATCACAATGCTCATTAGATAGATGCCATGCATAGAACTTAGTCCATATTAATTCTAAACACTCAACATGTGTCTGAAATTGTATTGTTTACCATAGTTATTGATTACAAAGTAAAAACAAGCATTAGAAATCATATGAACATGATTTGTATTCAAAACTAAATATTTTTAATCATCATAATAAATCATGTATAGATTTTTTTTTATATATGCTAGCTTGATTAGTTACTGTCTGTTTAATGTAATAAAATGGAAACAGCGCTAATCTCTTCCAACCATATGAGTGACAGCTGGCCTGTCAATGCGGTAGAGATATTCTGCAGGATGAAAATAGCCAAGGTACTGCACAGTGTCTGGTGTGGTATCAGTATGGTAGTGTCCTCCTTCTCCATGATGGCTGAAGCAGTGAGTGTGCTCCACGCGCAGGTCAAAGCCCTAAAAAAACAATATGAAAAGTAAGCACAAGATATTTGTTTGCATGGCATTGAATAACATTGAAACAAGTAGGTCAAAGTGTTCCACATCAGAAAAAAATATCATAAAGCAATGACTTGCATGTCCAATGAAAACACACTGGGGGACATTTATCAACTTTGTTGCACTGCAAGGCAATGCTAAAGAAGAACAATAAGAAGGTACAATTCCTTCCTCTGCTGCTCTAAGGGCTCATTTACACCAGCTGCTGCGTTGCAATGCAGCGGCCAATGTGCGTTGCGGTGCGGCCAAGATCAGCATTCTTTCATAAATAATGCTGGGTATACAGTAAACATTCAGGGTTTTTTTTTGTTCAATCAGAAGGATGAACGGAAAAAAATTGAAGATTCCTGCATCCACACAATGATGTGTGATGTGGGGACCTCTCCTACTGAGCTATTGTATTCTGACAGGGGGCTCTTGCCAGAATACACTGATCAGCTCTGGCAACTGTTAGCTGCAAGCGCTGATCGAATTCTGTTTTTCAAGCAAGAGCATTTGATAGAAGCTGGTCATTAGATGACCTTATGTTGAACAGACAGCGGTATACACATATTGAAACTCTTTCAGTACGTGTGTACCTGGCTAACAAATACACCTAGGTAACAAACTGTCATTAGCTGAAAATAAATGGGTTGTAATGTGAGCAAATTAAAAAGTGTATATTTTTCATGCCTTTAGAATTAAAACAGTACATATAAGCTGAACATGTAAATGTTGATGTTTTCTACTTAAACTCACTGGGTCATGAGACACGAACACTGATTGACAAATAAGCGGAGCCCTCATTTCATAGTAATTCAACCAGCGATCAACATCTTCATCTGTATTCAGGGGACAGGCAGAAAACTCACGGGGCTGTAAAAATATAGAGTGCATATTTTTTATAACATCAAGTAAGTATGAAAGATCACTAGTTAACATACTGTTAATTAACATGTGCATGTCAGATAAGAACAATGATATGGAGAAGAACCATGGTAGCTGGTCATTTCTGTATACACAGTAACTGAAGGCTGGTCTGCAAGAGTCTGTGGCCTGAGCTGCAACAATAACCTTTACTTATACTACCAATATCCAGTATACAATATTATAATCACTATTATTGAGCTAACAGTGTCCAAGACTGTTTATATGTGGCCATAGTGTGAGCAGAAACATGGTAGGTCATAAAGTCTAAATGTCATTTAGAAACTATGTGGCTACAGTGTCCTGCATTCACATGAATAAAAGATGCAACATTTAGTATATTATGTATTAATGTTATTATTTCTTATGTGATATTGTTTTCAGTTTATAGTTTGCCAAATTTGATAATTCTAGTTATATTGTGATTAATTTTTCATTAGTTTGTACATTTCATGTCATGTGTTCCCATACTATGGGGTATTCAAACTGTTGTATATGGCCTCATTGCAGTGGGATTTTACACAGTTTTTTATTTAAATGTCTTATTTAAATTAATTGTAATCCAATAGTTATTTATGACAATCCAATATAAACTCACTTAGAAAATCTCCTTTCATGTTGTGAGTTCTGCCTGTCTGCTGACCATGTCTTTCTACAACTTCCTGAATTCCCTGCATGCTTTGCAGCTTTTCCTAGCTGTGTAATTTCCATTTCGAAGAATTACATATCCTATGATACCTTGCTGCCTGCAAGCAGTGATTTCTGTACTGACTCTGCCTCCTAAAACTCCTCCTCTCAGCTCTTCTGTATTTCAGAAGGCAGGCTCTGTGAAATGTGCGACAATGCAGTGCCTACCCACAGGACACAAATGTGTGGAGTCTTCAGAACGTAAGTTTACAAACTTCAAAATTGTTCAGATTACTAGGCGTAAGTTGAAATAAATGAAATATAATGTGGAAATTAAATACACACACCTCAAAAAAATTAAAGGAACATGTTGAAAACACATCAGATCTCAATGGGGAGAAATATCATGCTGGATATCTATACTGATATGGACTGGGCAATGTGTTAGGAACATAAGGATACCCCATCGTTTGATGGAAATGAAAACTATCGACCTACAGAGGACTGAATTCAAAGTTACCCCAAAAATCAAAGTGGAAAAATGATGCAGCAGGCTAGTCCATTTTGCTAAAATTTAATTACAGCAACTCAAAATGGTACTCAGTAGTTTGTATGGCCCCCACGTGCTTGTATGCATTCCTGACAACGTCGGGGCATGCTCCTAATGGGACGACAGATGGTGTCCTGGGGTATTTCCTCCCAGATCTGGACCAGGGCATAACTGACCTCCTGGAGAGTCTATTGGATTTAGGTCAGGCCAGCAAGGGCTGTGCCTCGCAAAATGCAGGGAAAAGACACGCGAGCCACACTACTGTGCACTCCCCAGTGCAGGTGCGATTTCCAGTGCAGGCTGTGTGCCATTAAGAATAATGGCACCCGCCTGCGCATCTCGCGTTTTGTGTGCGAGTGGTTGCAACTGCGGGATGAAGTGTGGGTCCACCCACACAAATGTCAACTGAGCCTTAGTTTAAAGTTTCAATCAGAACAAAGCCAAACTGCTACTGCTAAGCTATCCCTTTAGATAATCCACATGTATCACTAGATATTTTTAAGAACACAAAAAAAAAAGGGGGGGGGGGGGAATTCGGCCCTAAACCAATATAGTTTCCTGTTAAACTGACTACCTGTGTGGCTCTAATGATCTTGACAGTCATTTTGCACACTAGCATCTTGGTTTTCTGAACAGCCATAGATCTAAGTTTTGGAAAATGTGTGTACTGTATGTTTCATGGTTCCGGCCCTCTAAACCCATTGCAACATTTTAGAACTATATACACTGCTCAAAAAAAATAAAAGGAACACTTTGAAAACACATCAGATCTCAATGGGGAAAAATATCATGCTGGATATCTATACTGATATGGACTAGGTAATGTTTTAGGAACGTAAGGATGCCCCATCATTTGATGGAAATTAAAATTATCAACTTACAGAGGACCGAATTCAAGGACACTCTGAAAATCAAAGTGAAAAATTATGCAGCAGGCTATGGGGGTATTTCCTCTCAGATCTGGACCAGGGCATCACTGACCTTATGGGCAGTCTGAGCTGCAACCTGGTGGCATCGGATGGACTGAAACATGATATCCCAGAGGTTTTCTATTGGATTTAGGTCAGGCAAGCATGAGGGCCATTCAATGGTATCAGTTCCTTCATCCTCCAGGAACTGCCTGCATACCCCTGCTACATGAGGTCAGGCATTGTCGTGCAACATGAGGAAAGCAGTACCCACTGCACCACGGTAGGGTCTGATAATGGGTCCAAGGATCTCATCCCGATACCTAATAGCAGTCAGGGTGCCAATGCCTAGCCTGTAGAGGTCTGCATCCCTCCATGGATATGCCTCCCCAGACCATCACTGACCCACCACCAAAACTGTCATGCTGAACAATGTTACAGGCAGCATAACATTCTCCAAGGCTTCTCCAGATTCTTTCATGTCTGTCTCATGTGCTGCAGGTGAACCTGCTCTCATCTGTGAAAAGCACCTGCCAATTCTAGTGTTCACTGGCCAATGCCAATCAAGCTCTATGGTGCCGGGCAGTGAGCACAGGGCCCACTAGAGGATGTCAGGCCCTCAGGTCACCCTCATGAAGTCTGTTTCCGATTGTTTTGACAGAGACATTCACACCAGTGGCCTGCTGGAGGTCATTTTATAGGGCACAAAGAAGCAGATACCGGTCCTGCTGATGGGTTAAGGACCTTCTACGGCCCTGTCCAGCTCTCCTAGGAGTAGCTGCCTGTCTCCTGGAATCTCCTCCATGCTCTTGAGACTGTGCTGGGAGACACAGCAAACCTTCTGGCAATAGCACGTATTGATGTGCCATCCTAGAGGAGGTGGACTGCCGATGCAATTTCTGTAGGGTCCAGGTATTTTCTCATGACCCTAGCCAAATGCAAAACTAGTGAAAAACAGTCAGAAAAGATGAGTAGGGAAAAGAATGTCAGTAGCCTCCACCTGTCAAACCATTCCTGTTTTGGGGGTCATCTCATTTTTGCCTATCTAGTGCACCTACTGTTAATTTCATTAACACAAAAAGCAGACCAGATCAATATCCCAGGAGTGTGTGTATATATAATATATACACACACATATATACACACACACACACACACATATATACATATATACACACACATATACGCATACAGTGCATTGTGCAGTGTAGGTGAGAGTGGCATTACTGGACCTTTTTTTAAGAATCCTGGGAAATTTGTAGATACTATACTCCCTGAGAAGGCCAAGTGACTTCACCCTTGTCTTTGCAGGCTTGCCAAAATCTAGGTGAATGTTTTATATTTTTTTTTTTTTACTATTTAATGACTTTCACCAAGTTTTGTTTTTTTTTATTTTCAATCGGGTGGTGGGTCAAGTTGCTCCAAGATAAGTGGTATTTGCATTTTCATGCAAAGTCTGCTTTAAATGCTTTGCTGCAAAAGCCCGTTTACACAATTTAATAGCTCAAGCTGAAATTTACATACACAAGCAAACTAGTCAGAGCAGTGATTTGTTCCCCTCTCCACCCCAACTCCATACCACATCTGGTGAGGTTCAGAAAATAAACTAACCGCAATTTAAAGTTTGAAAAGGAGAAGAAAAAACACAAAAAAAAACTGATGTGTAAACCCTGCAGAAGTGGAAATGAAACATGGACTAACTCCTGCACATTATTTAACGGCCATGTATCAAAAAATACCAGCTGAATGCCAGCAGGCATAAAAGACACATAATAATGCAGTTATATAATCATGAATACATCCGTAAATGTATTTTTAAAAGCAAGCAGTGTAAGAATTTGACCGGGTATCAGCCTCCTGAAGTACCTGTACAACAGAGATGAAGTGTCAAAAGGCAGAAACCCTGGAGGAAGAAGCCAATTAGTTCATCTGAAAAGAAACCTGCTGACAGGAGGAGGAAGCAGTGTGGCAGAGAGATGAGATCATCACTGTGTTGCTTTTCTTCACTGCTCAGCCATAGGAAGGGATGGGTCCAGACAACGAGGCCTCAGAGGAAGTGGTTAAATGATGCTGAAGTCAGGCTAATGACATCAAGTGACAGAAAAAAGCACTGCAAGGTATATCTCTAAATTGTAGGTGAATATTGTAGCTAAAGTTGGTATTGTTATTTTATCTTTTAATGGGCTATTCATTTTTATTTGCTTGTTTTTGGCCCTAGTTGCACTTTAAAGATCCTTTAAACAATCTTCTGTATATCCTGTCACAGAAGAACATAACCAGCAAACACAGGCATGTAAATCTCTTTGCTAACAATGGAGGACAATGCAGAACCAGACTAAATCATGCAATCTGACAGATCAAAATTTCCTCCATTATGTCTTCTGTTTCACCAGTTTAGATTATACACATTATCCTCTGCAAGAGCAGATACTGTTAAAGTGGAACTTCACCCAAAAGGGGAAGATCCGCCTTTTTGTAGCCTCCCCCTCCACTGCCACATGTAGCACTTTTTGGGAGGGAGGGGGAGCGGGTATCTGGTTTTGACAGGTACCTGCTCCCATTTCCGGTCAGATGCACCGCATCAATCTGAAATGGAAGTACGGGATTCTTCCTTCCCTCGCAGCCTTCTGGGACTTCACAGGTCCCAGAAGACTACGGGACCATTCACAAAACGCAGCGCGCTTCACGCATGCGCAGTTAGCAACCGGCTGTTTCCCTTACTTAAAGTGGAGCTCCACCAAAAATAAGACGTTACGTTTTAACGACTTGGCACCTTTGGGGAGCGGGGGAAGTGGGTACCCGATTTTGACAGGTACCTGCTCCCACGTTCGATCTGCCTGCCTAGGCGATCAGAAGCGGAAGTTCTCTCCCCTTCCTCTCCCCAAGTCCTCTGGGACACGTGACAGGTCCAAGAAGACTGCGGACCATTCATAATGCACAGCGCTGCTCGAGCATGCACAGTGGGCACCCAGCTGTGAAGCTGCAGGTTGCACAGCTGCGTACCCACACTTAAGATACTGGCACCGTTGACAGAGGAAGGACGGTGATCAAAAGGATTACCAAAGCTGCTTCTCACCAAAAGGTAAAGCAATCTCACCTGTTCACTACTTACAAACCAAGTTTTAAACAGATACAGAATGACTGATTGAAGCAGAGTATTGTTTTTATGTGAAACGTTAGAAAAAAGATTGGGCACAACTTACCATTACATGAATTTTAGCCTTCCCTTCTTGAATAACAAATGTCCCACCCATTCCTACAGCTTTGTCTCCATAATGTTCTTTTAAAGATTTTCTCATACAGCTTACAAAGTTTTCCTTTCCGGTCCTCCTCTTTGCATTCACCTCAATGACCTAAAAATAATGGAGAAGAGGCTGTTACAAAGTAAAACAACCACTTGAGCCAAACAACCTCATTGTGAGAATCATCTTTGGTGGTATAAAAACTCTCCATAGCACTGAATGGAGATTGCAGCAGGTAATCTCAACAGAAAAGATACCCTCAAGAGGTTATGTACAGCCAAGGAGGGCTCTAAGCTGCAAATTCAGTGAAAGCTGAATAAAAAAATAGGAAAAGGGATCTGGGGGTGAAATGTGTATTTGTAACAATTCTGTTTACTCTTTATTGCAGAAACACAATAGAAATGGGTTAGAAGTAGATTGGATGAGCATTGTAAGCAGAAAATCAAGTTAAATCTGAACAATGTTTAATGCGTTGCAGTTTATCCCTATTTAACACAATATCTTGCAGCCTCTCAGCTCAGACGTTTTTGGTGAACTCACACGAGCAAATGCAGCCTGCCTCCGACTAGACGTGAGGACCCCAGTGGGGTTACTGTGATTAGCAATTACCGTGAAAGCAAATAAAGGCTGCAGATTCCTGAAAGTAATCATGTCCATTCACATGTAATTGCTCGTGCAGCAATCACATGTGAGTGATTGGCCCAAACTGCCTGCTGCATGAGAGATTGCATGCAAGTGGCAGCAATTAGCTGCAAGAGCAGACAGACTCCCATTGCTTTCAATGGAGCTGCCTTTTGACGCTAATCGCGGGTACTCCTGCTGGGGTTGTTGCATCTAATCAGAGGTAGGCTACACTCGCCAGTGTGAATGCACCCTTAGTGGAATGCATTTAGGTAACAGAAACCTAGAGGTATAACTTTCAGGGTTTTCTTATCTCAACACTATCCATTTAATACCCTTACTTACAGCTTGAAATCTTTTTTAGAAAACCTTGAGGATAACTATTACCCCAAAAAATGTGGGTACTGTTTAACTGCTAACAAAATGTAGCCAATGAACCTAATAAAGAAAAAAAACCTTTGGCTACTTAGGCGCATGCATAAACAATGGATATTGCAGAACTGCATATATGATATCGCATTTAATTTATGTATCAGCCAAGTTAAATGAAAGCATCTTTTTACTTTGCTGTATAAGATGTAAAATAATTTACCTTTCCTGGTCTCCCTTCACTGGCGTACAGATTGGAGAGGAGGCCAAATGCATGGTCCTTACATTTATCCCTGTACGTTTCCAGTAAGCAGCTGTTATCTGCTGGGTTGACACTAGCCATGTAGTTTCTATTTACAGCTGGTGAAGATGAGCTCTCTGCTTGCACAGAAAATATAAGCTGAAAGGTAACAATTACAGTGTTAAATGTTATACAGCATGACAACAGCTGGGATCCAGCTGTAAGGAGCTCTAGAATTCTTTTAAATCGATAATATATGAAAGACTGGGTAAAGCTAAGACAATGAGATTTTTGACACATTTTGCCATCTGTGCGTCAAACCAATTCAGAAGTTGTGAAGAATATCACAATTCACACTGAGTTTCATATTACATGCTTTATAGCATGTGCCGCTTGCATAGAGATGAGACAATTTCACCCACCCCATTTTACTTTTCATGTTATGTTACCATCATTTTCACACATCAGAATTATTCAGAGAAAACAGCATGGGCAACCTCCTATACCCTGCTTTTACAAGCTATGACATTAGTGTTCCTGATGGGAGAAGGTTCAGAGGCAGAAACAAGGTATCAGTGGCAGAGAAGGGTGTAAAGTAAAAAGTGCACACTCTACGTGACATAAGATATCAGTGCTCTGGGGCAAAAACAAGGGGTTAGCAGATAGGGGGGTGATAAGTAGAATGTAAAAACTCCCAACTAGACTATACAGCCATTGAACCATTTTTGTGAAGTTAGACTCAAAAGAATAGAAAAGTGTTTCTCAACCTTTTTCAGTCAAGCCACTGCACAATCTCAAGACATCCCATTATAAAATGTAAAAACGAAACTAATAGCTTTACATAACACAGCAACATCCACTTATGTAGGACACCCAACATTAGCGGAGATTTATTCTTCCAAAGCAAATATACCTTTGCACACTGGTACTGACTAGTATTCCAGTGTTTCTCTTCTCCCTCAGTTTCTCTCCTTCGGTCAGATAATGTGACCCCAGTGCTAACGGAGAGAGATGGGAAGGGGCAAACAAAGATGCTTATCAACCAATTCATTGTTAGTCATTGGTTGTTGGGATGCAGGCAGCTGGAAGGCTATAATGGTGCACAATGAAAACCTGTGGCTTTGTATAACTAAAAGGCAGGCTTGGTCCACCCACTGGCTTGTATACAATTTCTAGGCAATTTTTAGGAATTTCTCCAAGGCCCTTCTAAAGAAACCAGAAGGCACCTTAGTGTGCCTGAAAACCATGGTTGAATATGACTGTAACAGTGCACCAGTGAAGAAACAACAACAGTGACAACATTGTACAAACTGCAATAGACTACAGTGCTTAATTAGAGCTCATTCCATGACCAATCCAACTTTAGTAATCTAAAATCAGATGCAAATACAGATACAAATCATGGGCAAAAAACAAGGTTAAAAAGATGATAGCTAGTCTGATATAATGCCTAACGGTAAGGCCCCACTTGAGCAAGTACTTTTTATCTATAAGTGTTAGATTTTTCTTTTTGTCAACACACATACAACACACATTTGATGACATACAAAGAGATTGTAATAAAAACTATCTAGCAGAGCTGTAAATGTTATACCTGGTTAATAAGCCATATAAAATCATCACAAACCTCCGCATTCATGCTCACACTCTTATGAGACACGGCACCAGCTCCAAGTATGTAGGCTCCGGGTAGATCAATCTGCTTTGCCACTGTATTAATGTCGTAAATCTTTAGGGGAAAAAAAATGACATTGAGATTTTATATATATATATTTAATTATTTATTACACACACATACATACATCCATATATATATATATATATATATATATATATATACACACACACACACACGATTCAACAAAAAAATGTCAGAGTAAAACAATGATAATCAGAAGAATTATCATTATGAATATGTGTGGTCATTCTTCATATTAGATCTTTAAAAATATGTATATTTTCAGTTCTGCTCCTAATGTACAAAGTTTACATACACAAGCACTAGAACAGAGGAAAGTGACTGGTTTTAGGAATTAGGGAACTTGGGAACAAGGAGGGGTTCAGGTAGATATCCATAATCACATATTTTTAGATTTATCGAAAGCCAAATCCTTCTTATTTGACATATAGGATGGAGTTGGGAACGGTTAAAACCACTGGCAGTTTATTTTGGCCAGCTTTGTCCAATTTGAGACATTCCTGCAGAAACAGGAAGAGAGATTAAATCTCCAAAACTGAATCTCCTCTTAGACAGTTATCACCAGAATAAAATCCCCATTGAGTAATTACTCCTCTATTCCTGTTCTGGTGACAACCCAACTCATAGTGGATTTTCTCTCACTTTCAGTCTGGATAAAAATAGTCACCAGGACAAATAGAATGAATCTTCCTAGTGATGACACAAAGCAGCAATAAAAACCTTACATGAGTTTCTAACCCTTTCTCCACTCCAAATCCAACACCCAAAGCTGAAAAAAAGAGTTTTAGTTTTAGATACACTTTTATTAAGTGTTCTTGCATGGCAAGACCACTTACTGTTATCTCACATATATATTCTTGTTATTATAGTCAAATTTACCACCCTAACTCCTCCCACAGTTTTTACACTACATAGACAGTAATATACAGAAACGTGCAGATTGTTCCCAATTGGTGTGCTATTACTTTGTGGAACATTTCGCCGAATGGTTCACGAAATATCGGCGTTTTTTGTGGTGAAATTGGTCCCATAGGAATGAATGGAGGAATGTTCAAAACTAGAGTGGGAGCTGACAAAAGCTAGAGTGTGAGCTGAAAAATCAGGACATGATTTCTAAACTGCCATCACTCCCTCATTTTCAAGCCCACCTACACACATCTTATATCAAAATGTTCAGCTATCCCTGCTGCCACTAAAAAAAAACAGCTAAGCCATAGTCCTGATAGTTTTCACAATCTGACCATTTGTTTGCAACTCACACCGCCCATTGACATTCATTGAAACTCCACTCTAGCCACCTCAGATTTGAAGGGCAATTTCTAAACTGCGACTGTGCCTTCATTTTTAATATTTCAGAGACATACTATGCATCAAAATGTATGTCTGGGTCTTGTGATTCTCACAATATAAAGCTCTTCACTGTAGGATTTATAATTAAGTGTTCTTGCATGGCAAGACCACTTACTGTTATCTCACATATATATTCTTATTATAGCCAAATTTACCACCCTAATGCCTCCCACAGTTTTTACACTACATAGACAGTAATATACAGAAACCTGGGGATTGTTCCCAATTGGTGTGCCATTACTTTGTGGAATGTTTCGCCGAATGGTTCACGAAATATCTGTGTTTTTGTGGTGAAATTCGTTCCATAGGAATGAATGGCGGAATGTTCAAAACTAGAGTGTGAGCTGACAAAAGCTAGAGTGTGAGCTGAAAAATCAGGACATGATTTCTAAACTAAAATATAGGTTTTTCTGGGTACTACTTGTGCACATGTAACATTTCTAGATATTTCCAATAACATACTAATAGGGAACTATTACTATGAAGTTCAAATGCACTTTAAACTTTACTACAAATATTACCATATTGCATTTAAAGAGTGTATAGTGATTTTGTGTATATTTATTTATTATGTTCAGGAATAAAAAACAAAAAAACATTTTAAAATGTTTCCTTTCACCAGGTTAATATGAAATATTACATATTAATATTTTGTAATTTGTTTTGCCAGGGTTAAAGCTTTATTCTCATTTTTATGTGTCTTCCAGAATCTACATGGCAGTCTATTATATATATAAAAAAAAACCTGCTTAAAAAAAAAACCTGCTTACAAAAAAGCAGAAGCCCAAGCTGTAAATTAGACACTGCGTTTTGCAAGGCTGCTGCGCCTTTCCAAAAATTGCAGCCCGCACGGGAGCCACACTACTGTGCACTCCCCAGTGCAGGTGCGATTTCCAGTTCAGGCTGCGTGCCATTAAGAATAATTGCACCAGCCTGCGTGTCTCGAGTTTTGTGTGCAGGTGGCTGCAGCTGCGGGATGAAGTGTGGGTCCCGCAGTGGCTTCCACCCACACAAATGTGAACCAAGCCTTAGTTTAAAGTTTCAGTTAGACAAAACCAAACTGCTACTGCTATGCTGTCCATTTAGATAATCCACATGTATCACCAGATATTTTTAAAAACATTAAAAACAAATTTGAAATTAAAAAAAAAAAAAAAAAAAAAAAAAAAAGGGAAAATTTGGGCCTAAACCAATATAGTTTCCTGTTAAACTGACTACCTGTTGTGTGGCTTTAATAACCTTGACAGTCATTTTGCACACTAGCATCCTGGTTTTCTGAATGGCCACAGATCTAAGTCTTGGATAATGCGTGTATGTTCCATGGTTCCGGCCCTGTCTCTGAACCCATTGCAATATTTCAGAAGTATATACACTGCTCAAAAAAATTAAAGGAACACTTTGAAAACACATCAGATCTCAATGAGGAAAAATATCATGCTGGATATCTATACTTATATGGACTGGGTAATGTGTTAGGAACATAAGGATCGTTTGATGGTAATGAAAATTATCGACCTACAGAGGAGTGAATTCAAAGACACCCGAAAATTAAAGTGAAAAAATGATGCAGCAGGCTATTCCATTTTGCTGAAATTTCATTGCAGCAACTCAAAATGGTACTCAGTAGTTTGTATGGCCCCCACATGCTTGTATGCATGCCTGATAATGTCGGGGTATGGTCCTAATGAGACGACGGCTTCCTAGGGTATTTCCTCCCAGATCTGGACCAGGACATCACTGAGCTCCTGGACAGTCTGAGGTGCAACCTGGTGGCGTCAGCTGGACCGAAACATGATATCCTAGAGGTGTTCTATTGGACTTTGGTCAGGCAAGAATGAGGGCCTGCATACATGAGGCCGGGCATTATCGTGCACCAGGGGGAACGCAGGACCCACTGCACCACCGTAGGGTCTGACAATGGGTCCAAGGATTTCATCCCAATACCTAATGGCAGTCAGGGTGCCATTTTCTAGCCTGTAGAGGTCTGTGTGTCCCTCCATGGATATGCCTCCCCAGACCATCACTGACCCACCACCAAAACGGTCATGCTGAATGATGTTACAGGCAGCATAACATTCTCCAAGACTTCTCCAGACCCTTTCACATCTGTCACATGTTCTTTGGGTGAACCTGCTCTCATCTGTGACAAGCACAGGGCGCCAGTGCCAAACCTGCCAATTCTGGTGTTCAATGGCAAATGCCAATTGAGCTCCATGGTGCTGAGCAGTGAGCACAGAGCCCCTCAGGCCACCCTCATGAAGTCTGTTTCTGATTGTTTGGTCAGAGACATTCACACCATGGCCTGCTGGAGGTCATTTTGTAAGGCTTTGGCAGTGCTTAGCCTGTTCTTTCTTGCACAAAGGAGCAGATACCGGTCCTGCTGATAGGTTAGGGACCTTCTACGGCTCTGTCCAGCTCTCCTAGAGTAGCTGTCTGTCTCCTGGAATCTCCTCCATGCTCTTGAGACTGTGCTGGGAGACACAGCAAAATCTTCTGGCAATGGCATGTATTGATATGCCATCCTGAAGCAGTTGGACTGCCTGTGCAACCTCTTTAGGGTCCAGGTATCGCCTCGTGCTACCAGTAGTGACACTGACCCTAGTCAAATGCAAAACTAGTGAAAAGCAGTCAGAAAATATTAGTAGGGAAAAAAATGTCAGTGGCCTCCACCTGTAAAATCATTGGTGTTTTGGGAGTCGTCTCATTGTTGCCCATCTAGTGCACCTGTTTATTTCATTAACACCAAAGCAGCTGAAACTGATTAACAACCCTCTCTGCTATTTAACTGACCAGATCAATACCCCAGGAGTTTCATTGACTTGTTGCTATACTCTGATTAAAAAGAGTTCCTTTCATTTTTTTGAGCAGTGTAGTAAGTGAATACAGCTCAGAATTATGTGGCAAGAAATTGCAATATTCTAGTGGCACAGTGAAAATCTTGATGAATGTATACTGTATGTTATAGATTATGGAACAAAAATATTATTTTAAATTCAGTAGACTTTTCTGGCTTTAGCTTCATTAACAATTTATAAGATTATTTAAACCAATTTAAACTGACTTTTCAAGAATGGCTTTGGCGATAATGCTGAACTCATTCTAATCACTGGGAAACAGATAAACACAAATATTAACTGAGTTTAAATAAGTAAATGAAACAAGAAAATTACCAGAATTACATTACAAATGTTATATCACGCATACAATTCATTGCCCTGTTTTATTGCACTTTTATTAGTCGTTGTAAATGAGCACAAACCATTAATTATACAAAAAGTAAACACAAAATAACAGTAAGGTTTAGTCTTTTTTGGTTAAAATATACATACAAAAACATACTTTATCGAGACGTGCAGTTGGCACCAAATATGGGACACCTCCAACATCTACAATTCTTGACTTGCCGCACAATCCTGCAGATAACACACAACAGAAAAGTATTTTCGTATTGACATGTAAAATCTCACATTTCCGTTAGTAACAAAATTTTTCTGAAAGTTCCATATTGGAATCCAAAGCCTGTAGTATATTTATATATATGGGGGACACCGCTGCAGAAATGCAGGATGCTGTTCAATACGATCATCTTCCTCTCTTACGCTGATCTTAAGTTTTCAGTAACGAATCAGATATCTCAAAACTCCATGAGATAGTGCCAGGGCTGGATTTATTCTCCCAGTCCTCCTAGATAAATTATTTTTGCCACCCCTTCTTCCTAAGGGCTTGTTCACACTTGACTCCTTCCCTAATGCTCCTATAGCGTTTGACAGGCGTTAGACATTTGGGGAGCGTTTTTAATGCTCCCCAAAAGCCCTATGTGTGGTTTTGAGGCATTTTATAGGCATTTTCCAAGAGTTAAAACCGCTCCACAAACGCCTAAAATGAAGTTAATGGTATTAACGCCCGGCAAACACCTGCCAGGCGTTTGAAGAGCATCACCATAGACTAGAATGGGAGGTGTTGAAAGGCTTCAACTCCTGACTGGACATGAGGTGTCAATTTTGCCACGACGCTAAAGCTTCAGAGTGAATAGCACTGTGTGCTGCCATACCTATAATTTCAAATGCATGCAAATTGCCTGCTTACAAAGCTAGTGTGAACCTAGCCTTAGTCAGCTGGCTGGCCTTAGTATTACATTAAAGTGTTACTAAACCCACAACAGTAAAATCAGACTGTATATGCAGTAAAGCATGCTTGTTATACTCATTGTGGAACTTAAGGGGTTAATCCTCTGCATTGTGTAAAAAGAATGCTTGATCCTTTCTTCCATGATCCTCCCCTTCTTCTACTGTCCCCAATCTATCTGCTGATAGAACCAAGCCTTGTGGGCAAGCTGCACATGCTCAGTTTGGTATGTACTGAATTTTGGCTGTACACAATTTTGTCTTAACCATTTGCCAACCACGCTATAGCCGAATGATGGCAACAGCACAGTTGTCCAGTTCTGTGAGGGCGTCATATGAGTGCAGCACGCACCAGGCAATCTCCGTGATTGCTGTTTCCTATGGACACAACTGATTACGTGATGTGGTAAAAGGCCAATCACAGTGGCCATTTACCACGTGATCAGCTGTGTCCAATGACACAGCAGATCACCGGGTAAATGCAGTTGCTGGTTACCAGCAATTGTCACAAAACAGATCGGCTCTGATGATCAGTGCCCAGCTGTGCCATCCAGCAGTGCCACCCACAAGTGCAAAGCAGTGCTGCCCACAAGTGCCCATCAATGCCACCCACCTGTGCCCATCAATGCCACCCACCTGTGCTGCCCAGCAGTGCCCCCCATCAGTGCCACCCAGCAGTGCCCATCATTGTTGCATATTAGTGCAGCATCATCAGTGCCAGCTCATCAGTGCTGCCTATCAGTGCCCATCAGCGCTGTGTATCCATGCCACCTCGTCAGTGCAGCCTCATCAATGCACATCAGTGAAGGAGAAAAAATTACCTGTTTGTCAAATTTTATAATAGAAACAAAGAAAAACGTTTGTTTTTCAAATTTTTTGCTCTTTTTTTAGTTTATAGCACAAAAAATAAAACACCCAGTGGCGATTAAATGCCACCAAAAGAAAGCTTATTATGTGTGAAAAAATTATAACAATTTCATATAGATACAGTGTTGCATGACCACGCAATTGTCATTCAAAGTGCGATAGCGCTGAAAGCTGAAAATTGGCCCAGTAGGTAAGTAGTTAAAGGAGCTTTGACCTCAGATTTTATGTAAGTGCAATACTTTTAATAAATTGCTTGGTTTTAACATCTGAGTCCCATAGTGGATATTTCCCTTCATTTCCTGTCCCATACCCAAACAGGAAGTAAAAGGAAATCTCTGCAAATTAAGAGAACTCCTTGAGGACCGCCAGGTCACCAGAACTAGTGACTCCATTGGAAGATTTCCCCTCTATTACTTTTCTGGGGACAGCCCAAAATTTGAATTTTCAATGATAATGGTAAACATGACAAATAGAGAGGGTGAATTCCCCTAATGGGTACACAATAAAATTGACAGGTGTTTTAATCCCTCTCCACTGACCTTACCTTTTACTGGGAATTCAAAAGGTTCCTGTGTCAGATCAGGACAGTCCACAACTTTAACCTGTACATCTTCATAATTCTTTTTTAGCCCGATTTCCAGTACTAGAACCAAACAGCCAAACAATAAAAATAGTAATAAAAAAATCTTAACATGTCTATCATTGACTGTGATTTGAACCCATGTGGTCACAGGGACAGGAAGCTAAGGGAATCTCCGTAAAGGGGAAACAGAAACCCTAGAGAGGTTACATTCCTTCTCCTCTCTATTCAAATTTTGTTTAAAAAATGATGGATTACTGCTTTAACCTCCTTAGCGGTATTCCCGAGTGTAGCTCGGGGTAACATTTCAGTACCAAAAGCGGTAACCCCGAGCTACACTCGGGAATACCATGCGGCACTGCTCCGGCATTTGTTCGTCACCTACCTTACCCTGCGCTCCCGCGATGTGTCCCTGCAGCGTCCCTGGCCATCTCCTCCGACCGATGCTGGCATCCGGCTTCTGTGTCCTGTCCCTGTGACGTCGGGACGTACGGGCGCCGCCGGCGGCGGGAAATTTAAAAAATTTTAAAAAATGTCATTTTTTTTTTTTTACATTTTACATAGTAAAACATTGCTGTCTCAACCAATTTCACATACATTTTGTCCCGAGTGCTTTGTCCGGCGCCCTGCCTGCATTTTGTCTGTTCTTTCTGCCTGGAAACTGAGAAACGTTCATGCATCCAAAAAGTGTCCCTTTAGGTCAAAAGCGGTTTTAGACCGGCTAGAGAACAGCGATAGTAAATCAGAACCACTTGCAGAATTGAGTGATAATGATTCGTGGGGGAAATTCCTCATCAGACACTGAAAACGATTTTGCGACTGAGCTCAGCAATGTGTGCGAACTTGGCGCTATATTTCAAATTTCAGTGTTTTTGGTTTGATTATATTATTGAATTAAATTTTTTATTATTTTTATATTATTTTTATGATTATTTATTAAATTATAATTTATGATTTTGTGTTTCAAATTTTATCATACCCGGGATGTTTACTAGACTCTTGTTCGGACAGATTTCAGTGAGTTTTTCCTAAAAATTACAGGCCTACAATTAAAAAAATACATATTTCCATGCAAAAAAATGGTACCGCTTTCAGCACCAAAAATCTGAAATAATCATACCGCCAGGGAGGTTAAAGTTGGACATAATCAACTGTAAATATGGTTACTTGCCTGCTGCAATTTCTTCTAGGGCAGGGAGATGGAGGGCACAGCTCTCAGTGTCTGCCATTCTTCCACCAGACTGCAGTATGATGAAACATTTAATATTAAGAGTTTCCAGAAAAGGTCAAAGTTTAGTTTGTGAGGTTCAGACAGCTGTGAATGAATAATATTAATGATTAAAATAGGATTCGGCTAAAATAAGTAGATGGTTAACTGCTATGCTAGCTGCAAACAAAATACCTTAAAGTGGTACTAAACCCAAAACCAATAATGTAATATATTGCAACTAACCCTAACCAATCATTAGATGTGATGGCTGCATTAGTTTAGCTCTGTTTTCACTCGGTGATCTGGCCAGTAGCACACCTCCTGTATTAGAGTGCCCCCACTCTGGATGAAGGAGCAATGGAGACACCTTTGGACAGCAGCACTGTCAGTCTTGGGGGGGGGAGGAGAGGGTTAGATGTACTAGCAGATTTAGATCAAATTGAACCAAACTCCAACTAATACTTCATAAGCAGTTACAACAACAGTTTCTTTTCCTTTTGGGATAAAGGCTTTACATAAATAAAGTGGATCACTGTAAGCACCCCTGTCAGTGTTAAATGTTTTGTTGCAACCCTCTAGCTGCTACATCGGCAGGGGAGCTTGTTCTGTTGAAAAACAACAGACTTAGGGTTCATGTACAGGGGGCGTTTGAAAAACTCTTCTGACCGCTGGAAACTGACTGCTAGAAAACCTAGGTTAAAAATGTCAGTTTAGCCGCATTCACCTACCGCGTTTATGCATATTTGCATTTAGAAGCAGTTTTAAAAGATAACCTCAGGAGACCCTCCCAAATGCCCAGATTGCACTGAAATATAATAAATTCACTAAGGCTACTAAAATACCACATGAGTTATGTTATCAAGCCATGCGGTATTTTAGTAGTGAAAACCATGCGGTAATGTGTCAGCTGTCAGCGGGGTTCCCATTGAACGCTGAATGTAAAAGAAAGAATTGCCGGCAATTAAAACATAATAAAAACACAGCGTGGGGTTCCCCCCAAAATCCAAACCAGACCCTTATCCGAGCATGTAGCCCGGCAGATCAGGAAAGGGGGGGGCGAGCGAGCATGAGCGCCCCCTTTCCCTCCTGAACCATACCAGGACACATGCCCTCAACATGGGGGGGTGCTTTGGAGCGGAGGGCAAAGCACCTTGTCCACATGTTGATGGGGACAAGGGCCTCTTCCCCATAACCCTGGGCTGTGGTTTTGGGGGTCTGCGGGCAAGGGGCTTATTGGAATCTGGAAGCCCCCTTTAGCAAGGGGGCCCTGGACCCCACACAACCCCCCCACGTGAATAAGTATGGGGTACATGGTACTGCTACCCATTCACAAAAAAAAAAAGCTGTAGTGTGAAAATAGACAGGAGACATTCTGTGACAAGTCCTTTATTAAAAGAAGGAAAATAAAAGAATGTCCTCCGAAGTAGATCCAACGTCGATCACGATGCCCACCGCTGACACTCTGAGAACAAAAAAAAAAAGGCTCCGCTCCTGACGCTGGCCCCCAGCCGTCTGCCTCTGAGCTGGTTTGACAGTTCTTAAATATGTAAGGAGCGGGGCCATCACGTATATATATGACCCCGCCCCCATGTGACGTCAGTGACCAGCATGCCCCGGTCAATGATGTTACATGGGGGCGGGGGTCACACGGGCGATGTCACTGGGTGGCCCCTCCCCTTACATATTTAAGAACTGTCAAACCAGCGTAGAGGCAGACGGTTGGAGGCCAGCATCGGGAGCGGAGCTTTTTTTTTTTTTTTTTGGGGGGGGGCGGCGGCCGCGGGCATTGTGATTGACATTGGATCTACTACGGAGGACATTCTTTTTATTTTCCTTCTGTTAACATCCCTAGCGGTATTCCCGAGAGTAGTTCGGGGGTAAAATGTCAGTACCAAAAGCGGTAACCCCGAGCTACACTCGGGCTTACCATGCGGCGCTGTATAGGGATTCCCTGCAGAGCTTACCTTGTCCTGCGCTCCCGCGATGTGTCCCCTGCAGCGTCCCCGCCCATCTCCTCCGGCCGATGCCGGCATCCGGCTTCTGTGTTCCGGTCCCTGTGACGTTGGGACGTACGGGCGCCGCCGGCGGGAGATTTCAAAATTTTGAAAAATTTCATTTTTTTCAAAACAAATTTTACATAGTAAAACATTGCTGTTTCAACCCATTTCACATCCATTTTGTCCTGAGTGCTTTGTCCTGTGCCCTGCCTGCATTTTGTCTGTTCTTTCTGCCTGGAAACTGAGAAAAGTCCATGGCGTCCACAAAGTGTCCCTTTAGGTCAAAAGCGGGTTTAGATCAGCTAGAGCAGTGGTGGGCAACCTTTTTTTTCAACTGAGCCAAATCTCGCCAAAACCACGATTGAAATTTATTTTGAGAGCCACATTTTTTTAAAACTGAAAATACATCTCCCATATAGTAATTCATCCCCCATATAGTAATTCATCCCCCATATAGTAATTCATCCCCCCATATAGTAATTCATCCCCCATAGTAATTCATCCCCCATATAGCAATTCATCCCCCATAGTAATTCATCCCCCATATAGTAATTCATCCCCCATATAGTAATTCATCCCCCATAGTAATTCATCCCCCATATTAATTCATCCCCCATATTAATTCATCCCCCATAGTAATTCATCCCCCATATAGTAATTCATCCCCCATAGTAATTCATCCCCCCATAGTAATTCATCCCCCCATAGTAATTCACCCCCCATAGTAATTCATCCCCCATATAGTAATTCATCCCCCCCATAGTAATTCATCCCCCATAGTAATTCATCCCCCATATAGTAATTCATCCCCCATATAGTAATTCATCCCCCATAGTAATTCATCCCCCATAGTAATTCATCCCCATATAGTAATTCATCCCCCATAGTAATTCATCCCCCATATAGTAATTCATCCCCCATATAGTAATTCATCCCCCATATAGTAATTCATCCCCCATAGTAATTCATCCCCCCCATAGTAATTCATCTCCCATATAGTAATTCATCCCCCATATAGTAATTCATCCCCCATATAGTAAGTCCCCCATATAGTAAGTCCCCCATATAGTAAGTCCCCCATATAGTAAGTCCCCCCCCATATAGTAAGTCCCCCCCATAGTAATTCATCCCCCATATAGTAAGTCCCCCCCCCCATATAGTAAGTCCCCCATATAGTAATTCATCCCCCATATAGTAAGTCCCCCCTGTGTCAATTCACTTACCTTTGCTCCGCGCGTTCCTCTCGCCGTGCTTCCCGCGCCGTTCTTCCCGCGCCGTTCTTCCCGCGCCGTTCTGGTCTTCAGGGCGGACTGTGAGAGGAGAGGAGTTCGTCACGCTGCCCCGCCTACATCCTGGCTGCCCCGCCTACATCCTGACAGCTGCAGAGTCCTGACTTTTGGGGCGGCCGCCCGAGAGGAGGAGGGAGGGAGCGGGCGGCCGTCCGAGAGGAGGGGGAGGGGAGGGGAGGGGAGGTGAGGGGGCGGCCGCCCGGCACACGCCCGTCCGAGAGGAGGGAGGGGAGGGAGAGGAGGGAGGGGAGGGAGAGGAGGGAGGGGAGGGAGAGGAGGGAGAGGAGGGAGGGGAGCGGGGCGCCCGGCACACAGAAGAGCCGCATTTAAGCTTGTAAAGAGCCGCATGTGGCTCGCGAGCCGCGGCTTGCCGACCACTGAGCTAGAGAACAGCAATAGTAAATCAGAACCACTTGCAGAATTGAGTGATAATGATTCGTGGGGAAATTCGTCGTCAAACACTGAAAACGATTTTGCGACTGAGCTCAGCAATGTGCGAACTTGGCGCTATATTTCAAATTTCAGTGTTTTTGGTTTGATTATATTATTGAATTAAATGTATTATTATATTATTATTTTTTATGATTATTTATTAAATTATAATTTATGATTTCGTGTTTCAAATTTTATCATACCCGGGATGTTTACTAGACTCTTGTTCAGACAGATTTCAGTGAGTTATTCCTAAAAATTACATCCTACAATAAAAAAACTACATATTTCAATGCAAAATAATGGTACCGCTTTCAGCACCAAAAATCTGAAATAATCAGACCGCCAGGGAGGTTAATAAAGGACTTGTCAAAGAATGTCTCCTGTCTTTTCTCACACTACAGCTTTTTTTTGTGAATGGGTAGCGGTACCATGTACCCCATACTCATTCACGTGGGGGGGGGGAGGAGAAGGGATCTGGGGGCCCCCTTGTTAAGGGGGGCTTCCAGATTCCAATGAGCCCCCTGTCTGCAGACCCCCACAACCACAGCCCAGGGTTGTGGGGAAGAGGCCCTTGTCCACATCAACATGGGGACAAGGTGCTTTGGGGGGAGCACCCCCCTACCTCAAAGAACCCCCCCATGTTGAGGGCATGTGTCCTGGTATGGTTCAGGAGGGGGGGCGCTCACTCGCCCCCCCCCCTTTCCTGACCTGCCGGACTGAATGCTCAGATAAGGGTCTGGTATGGATTTTGGGGGGGATCCCACATTTTTTTTTTTAAATTTTGGCGTGGGGCTTCCCCTCAAAATCCATACCAGACCCAAAGGGCTTGGTATGGATGGGAGGGGGGAACCCATGCCGTTTTTTTTAAATTATTTTTTAATTGCCGGCAATTATTTCTTTTACATTCAGTGGGAACCCCGCTGACAGCTGAAACACGATGCATGCTTTTCACTACTAAAATACCGCATGACTTGATAAAATAACTCATGGTATTTTAGTAGCCTTTTTTAATGGATTCAAATGGGTTTTTTATTTTTTAAATACTATGCGGTATCCTACAGCACACTCAAATTTGTGAATTGTGCCCTGGATATGGGCCAGTCAAAAAATGCTTATAAACGCAAATGCGGTGAACCATGTTTACAAGCGTTTGGAACATCAGTAAAATCTACTCCTGACCGCAATTTTGCTGCGTTCAAAAAAACAACTGTAAACAACATAGTGTACATGGACACATAGGAAAACATTAGGGTGAAAAAAAAGCAGAAAAGCTCCTGAACGTGAGTTTATCAGCTGCA